GAAAGAGTGAAAAATCTGAAATTAAACTACTCCACTCTCTCACCATTCATTTACCATCAGGCATGAAGCAGGTAAAGAAAGTCGCTAGTTCTTATACACCCAAGCACAAACGAAGCCCTGTCACAACACAGGAGTTTACTCTTTGCACAGGGTCAGAACCCAAATTACAATATATTCCAGTGTTTCTTCCAGCTTGTAAAAACCCTCTGGTTTACAATGTCATGGTGCCAGCCTGAGCTTTAAAACTGCTAACTGCAAGGAGCAGCTGGCACATTATTATCTGTCTTATTTACTACCACATACAAAGAGTTAATAAGAAAGTTTTACAGCACAGTTTTCCCAGTTTTCTTGCAGTTTCTTTTGCCACTTCTCTGTGTCAGTTACTTGTTTTCTTTTTTTCAAAGTATGTTCTTCTCCTCTGAAAAATAGCTCTTCTTCTGAAGGCCCTGCTCAGAAAAAAAGATTTACAATAGCGGATGTGATATGGAACTGGCACTTAGTTACTTGCTGAAAGGTTATATATGCAGCTGGGAAGATATCTGAAATGAAGAAATATATATAATATTACAGGTGCGTAGGTTTCCAGACTTCAGAGAAGTAAATTAATGTGAAGATTTTTCTACCATTTCTGGGCCCATAATTCAGCAAGCAATCTAAGGTCGTGATGATTTGGTACCTGGTTACTAAGTGACATTTCTTCTACAGCTCAGAATAAAAGCTCTTTCTAAATGGTTGAGCATAAGCATCTGAGTTCTAAAATACTGTTTCTGCGTAATCTTTAACATGCTGTGAGTTCATAGAACAGTTATGCAGTTATCCCGTAATTGTCCTGAGAAAGGTATACATTTGTAACTTCCAGTCCACTGACAACAACAACTGGGATAAATAGTCATACTCAAAACCTCATTTGTATTAAGAATTACACATGCTGAAGACAAAATCTGAAGGTCTACTGAAATGCTTAGAGCTATGGACATGATCAAATCCCTACCTAAAGAAAGGACAGTATGGAATTTTTCCACTGTTTAGTCCCAAACATGCAAACACTGAATTTTAAAATCCAACTTTTATTCTCTGTTCTTCTTAAAGTGTAATTGGGACAATTCAGTCTTAAAATAAAATATATGTGCCATCATTTGCAGGACTGGATTTCACCCTCTTCTTCTTGTTTGGCATATGGCTATTGCATTCTGCACAGTATGTAAATGTTAATGAACTTTTGAGAGAAGTAATCAACACCACATTAATACTAAACATTTTCAAATTACAGTTCTGGCTTTTGTTTCCCATTTTCAAAATTATGAAGGGTATTTTCCTAGTGGTTAAAAAAAGGAAACATGTACAATATGGGATGAAATCCTGCCCCTTTTCAAAACAATGGCAAACTCCATTATTTAAGTTTATAACATTTAAGAACACATGGTTTGAGTAAATAGAGTTAAGGCTTAACTTGAATATGTCTTTTTGATCTTTACCTTTTCTAACTCGGGGACAGTGAAGCTGATTTCCTCGAACATCATGTTCTTCTATGTCACACCAGCTGAGATACTTGAAGGAATCAGAAGGAAGCTTAGAAAAAGCGAAATAAAGATATAAAAGAATCAGTTAAGGGTTTTTTTTTTTTCAGTTTCTGGCATTTTATTTTCTCATATTTCTGGCCTTATTACACTAGAAATAATATTCATACATGTTTATAATGTCTTGTGCCTGAATACCATCTGGTGAATAGCAAAATGGTGTATGGAAGGGAGGATACAATGGCATGCATTTGCGAATGCACATGCATGTAAACACATTTCTGGACGAGCTTACATACAATGTATCCTGAATGCAACTGAGGCACTAAATCTAAACACAGAAAACCTGCCACTGCAGTCGAGAATATGAGGTTTCTGCCCATTTCGCTTTTCCTCTAAACCATGTTCTATAATTTCCAGGGCATCAGGAGGGAGCAGGGAACAAAGTCTCTAACTCTCTCTGTAGCGTATGGAGTGGGTGTGATTTGTGTCGTGCCCAACAGACACAGCACCACAACTGCCTACAGTGGGGGAACCTCTCGCCGCAATGCAGCTTGGCACTTGCTCGAACTTGCAGCGTTTCTTTGAGAGGAACCAATGATGGTGGAGTTGAGGAAGGAGGAGAGATGGAGCACGCACCTCTGACCCATCCCCTCCAGTTAGAGCTGAGCTATACACACATCCAGAAGCTGGGAAATGCTGTGGGGATTCACAGTTTAGGTGTAGTTTACCACAGCCCTTTCTGGTTTACTTCTGCAAATTGGCTCAAATATTGGAGAGAGATATTCTCACCAAATATCTGTATTGTTACCCTTTATAGCACCCCTGTTGACGACCTTTTATAGCAAACATACACAGCCTCTTCAGGATTTATTATTTATTTGCCTATTGCACCCAGTTCTGTGCATAGTGCTCAAAGGCTTCCTGGGCCACTGAGTCAAATCGCTTGCTACTGCTGACACCATATCATATCTTATTTATAATCTGATCTAGCTTTGGAAGATAAAATGAGGCAAAACATAATCAGCTTCAAAGCTGAGGAAGAAACTTCAGCCTTAGTTACTCTTTGTCAGTGTCTCTCTTCTATAAACTTGCAATCAGACTGGTAAGCCAAACACTTACAGGGGAAAGTAGCCCAGAATCACCGTCCTGCCTGATGAATCCTCTGTTTTGCGATAAAACTGGTGGAATAATGTGTGTATCACTTAGGATGGAGCAGCAGGATGAACACGTTTTACAGAGTTTTTGATTGCTTGTAGTCAGACCCGAGGAACTAGAGAGGAGATGTTAAACAAGTAATCAGTTCTGTTTAGAGAAATGCAAACTATTTTATAATAGCAAAAAACACAGAGTAGCAAAGCGTAGGACTTACCACCGGACAAGAGCCACATGATCCTCTGGTCAGACCATAGGTAGGGCAATCCCCTCTACTCCCTTAATGGGACCTCTCACCTAAGTACCGATTACTTACACAGATATGTCCAAACATTAGATAGAGGAACTTACTGGCAGCTTGTCAGAAAAACTCAGTCTTGGAGAAAATGAAGACCAGAACTTGTTCAATAGCATGATATGTCCCCTTCTATCCTGTAGAGCCCTGCTTTTATGGATCCACGTTGTATGAAAAGATACCTCAACTGCATATTTATTTTAATCCCTTGAGTATGTTTTACTGGAATATCAAGGCTCCAAAGAAGAGTTGAACTTTGTTCAATAGAGTCTTGAAGTCATATGCTTCTGTGCTTTGCTAGGTCATTGCCTAAGAACACATTCAAAAGTACATTCATATACCCCAAATGATGCAATTTCTCCAATTGTGCTTCAGAGAGATTGAATAATTTGCAGACTGGCAGCTGCAATTTAGAAATTTACCACGGAATACTTCAAAAACATAATTTTAACTTAGTAAGTGTGTGCATACAGCACTATAATTTGACTTTTACTGTTCAAGCTCGGTGAGAGCTTGCCAGAAAATATCAGCTGTCAGTAAGCATCATTAAAACAATTATAGTCAGGAGCAGAAATGGAGAACAAAAATGCAGCTTTAAAATGGTCTAGTGAGGATGGTAATGAAAGTTTCATATTGAGTGTAACAGACAAGCTAAATAGATCATCAGTTAAAATTTAGGATTACAGATTATTGGCAAATAATCATGAAGAGACGTATTCTGTTGACCTTACCAAAAATCATCAAAACCCATTATTACATCTGTCCTGGCTTTTGCATGAAAGCGCACACAAACTGCATAGACCGGACATACGGAACTACTCCTACTTTCGTGCTTTATGCTTTTTTTTGTAATGCGATCAAACCAGCCACAATGAACCGTAGGTGACTTAAAGGAAGCTGAGCAAGCTCAGCTTTTCTGAAAATAACAGGTATTTACTTAGGCATTTTTAGAGGTCATCTTGAGGCAAACAGACCATTTTCGTGTGTGTGTGCTGCTACAGATCAGCAGCCATCCACACACACAGCAACCCTGTAAAAAGAGGATTTACATTTGGTCAATATAAAACAATAAAAAAAAAGTAAAAAAAAAATATGTGCTGGGAACTCTTGCTTAGCCCTATCAGCCCTATCTCGGTATTTGTTTGCTTCTGCTTTATTGTATGTTAAATGATGTTGTAGCAGAGAAATATGTAGACATTCTTTTATACTTAAGAAAAAGATTTATTATTCTTCTCAGTTTTGGAAGCAATTTGTTAGCATGTATTCAAATGACTATTTATAAGTGCAAGACTTTTGAAAACCTGCCATCCTCTCAGCGAGATACTACCTACTCTGCTGAGACATGAATATACACTCCTAGCCCTTGAAATGTGGGATGAAATATTTTAGCTGAACCATTTAACATGATATCTATTCTGATCTTCTGGCAGAAGCCCACTCACAGAATTCTGTATTGGTAATAGAAAACAAAACATAAATTTCCAGAATCAATATGGGATAGATAAGACTTCTCCGATCAGGTGGGTGGTGAGATTTCTATTG